GACCAAACAAGCCACTGTCGGACCTCTCGATTCGACCAAAATACAACGCACAATTCATGAAAAATTTATCAATGAGGACCCGATGATTGACACGAGTTTCTTGCGGCAAGAGCTTCGTGATGCTTGCTTAAACTGGCCAATAAAGTGTAGAATAGTTTTAGATTTCGCAGCACGTGATGTCGAGACATAGTCACATCGAGCAAACTAAGTGCTCTGTTCAGCCGATGATTGAACTAGTTGGACATCCACAATGTTTGTACTTGCAGGCTGATGAACAAGATGAACGGGTTTAATATGTAAAGAAAATTTGGTATCGATCGCAAATATTATGTCAATAATTGTTTGCAACCGCTTGTCAACGAAATCAAACGGCAAAGATGATCATCTGGTACACATGCTATGACACTTGACTACGATATTTCGAAACCACATGTCAATAAAGATGTATTTAACTACCTTGACCAGGAAGATATCATGATAATTGCATCATGATAATTACTACCTTATTCTTCGGCCCTGGCACCATGTGATTTTTGGTTATTCGACCTGGTGAAACATAATCCAACTGATCAAAAGAACCCACAATCGTTACATCGTGCCGTAATCAAGATGATGAACTCATTGAATGAAGATTTCTATAAAAAAAGCTCGATAAATGGATTGGAGCGAATGCAAATGTGTGTAAATAATCAGGGCCACTACTTCGAGCATTTCATGAAATAAAGACTTGATTAACTTGTTACTGTATTATTTTCGTTAAACTCTTAATACTTCTGGTATGCCATAAGAAATTCCTCCATCGTATGACAGATCTTGTAAGCAATATCATTTTCTCTTTTTTTATGTTATTTTTTTCTTAGGTTTTTCGTATTAAACAATTGTGTATATATAGTACTGGATTTCTACTATACAGACATATAATCGAGTTAAATTAATGTTGTGTAGTTTTAATACACGACTCGAAAGAAAAAGTGGTACTAGACTTTTGAGGTGCACTGTGTAATCTTTGTTTAACTACAAGAGGATAAAGTGAAAAAGATTTTTTTACTAAAAGAAGTCAAGAACCACGCACTTCATATTTTATGACTCATGAATGATAAGATTTTTGATTAGTATTCTGTTGTCTTTCCAATTTTTAACGTAACATTACACATATGTTGGAGTGTTGTGTAAATGCATACGCAGTTTCAGTGTTGATAAGATTTGTGCTAATGAGGCAACTTTGTTTTCTATTTAATTGTGAAACTTTGAGTTTGAAGAATGTAAGTTCATAATTGCCACTTTATTTATTGAAGAGACACATAAAGTATAGAAGTAACGGGTGCGGCATAAATGATGATACCGCCAGTATTTCGTCAATATTTCTGTGAGTTGTCATTGTAGAGACTTGAGATTAATATCAAAAGATTCTTCATTCAATTCTCTTCGAAACCTTAAGAAAAGAGCACGCACAATACCTAATCGTAAATTCATAGGCTGTCAACACTGCAATGTCCTAAATGGGGGCAGTTTCTAGCGCACGTTTTCAGAAGATTAATTATGTCTCTGATCGGAGCTAGGCAAGTCAGGAGTTTTGAAAATCACAAGTCAAGTCAAGTCAAGTCACTAAAAAAGATTCAAGTTAAGTTACGTCAAATCGAGATCGGAAAATTTTGTCTCCCAGGTCAAGTCAAGTCATCCCTTGAAATTTTTTCTCCCAAGTCAAGTCACGTCTGGTTTAAATTAGGCAGAACATATTATTTGCTAGCATCCTTTTGGGTGAGAAAGTTTTTATAGTCTCGGAAACTCTCTTTCATGGTAGAAAACGTCTAATTTAAACGAAAATTTTAGGACTCACGTTTTATTTAATAAAAATATCATATTCGGAATCAGCGTTGCAAGCTGAATCGAATTATATGTATTTCGAAACTTTTTGTTGATTCTCATTTTTTGGTGAAAATTCCAGCAATTTTTCGAGGTAAAAATTCAGAAAATAGTAGTCGGATAGACTAACGAAGTACACTATGCGACTCAGCTTGCCACGCTGATTCCGAATATGATATTTTTATTAAATAAAACGTGAGTCCTGATGAATAAAATTGAGAATACTGGCAGAATTTCGATTTTTGCGCTCCTGATCTAGAAAATATGAACTTTCTCAATGACAAAGCATGATGAAAAAAAAAGCAATATATACTTTTAAAGCTCGTTTAATGGTGGTTGTAATGAAGTACAAAAATCGGCTCCATCTTTTCAAGGAAAAAATTAGATTGGTTTGCAAAATTGTTTCTGAACTTTTTATAAGAAGAGTCTAAGACTGATTGTTTTTTTCTGTTTCTATATTCGTATAATATACCGTTCGATTTTGCTTTGTCCGAGGATCAAGAATATTATCCTATTTTTATGAAAGGACGTAATGAAAATGAGAAAAATCAATTTTAAGACCAACACGATCAATAACGTATACGAAGCTTTTTCAGTGTTGAATTTTTTTTCTGATTAATACAGTCGGTCTCGAAGACTCAAATTATGTTGCTAGATAGAGTTAAGTGTCAGGGAATTTTTGACAAAATGTGGATATGGTACTGTATTTCTTGGGCCTGCTATTGAACTTTTAGTGAAGCATATGAAAAATGAAAATTTCAAATTTTGCTCGAAAAATATTTTTTTCTTAAACAATAACCATGTTCTTTTAATTCTTTTATCGCCGATTTATAGGACGTTTTTCACTCTACAAAATCCAGTATAAAGAATATCTTCACTATACTTCCTTACTGAGTTGATAAACTTTTTTCATCTCATGTCAGTAAATGGTCAAACTTTTTAAAAAATTATATTTTGAGAAACGATTATAGTTTCAAACCAAAACTTATATATGATTAGATGCGCAAGAAAATTCTCTATCGCACCTGCTACTCAGCTTTTTGATATTTTCAAATTTTTAAATCCGGCAGGGTCTTTTATAATGAGCCCCATTAGCAGAGCGTAGAAAAGCGAATATGAAATAAAATGAAAAAGGTCTCGATCACAAAGGCTTAAGATGAAAAACTTATCAGTTGTTTCTCAACTGATAGACCATTGCAAGAGCTACAAAATGGCATATTCGGTCTTTCTCTATGCGACGAAAGTGCGGTGAAAAACTAAAAACAAAACGTAATATTGGTTGCAAAATGCTTCCGTTTGGGACATAGCAGTGTTGACAGCCTATGAATTCATGGTTATTTTTTGTACTTGCTCTTTTCTTAGGGTTTTGTAGAGAATTAAATGAAAAATCTTTTGAGACTACGCTCAAGTCTTTACAATGAAAACCCACCGAGATATTGACGAAATACTGGCGGTATCATCATTTATGCGGCGCTCGTTATTAGAGAGTTGTTTGTGCTGTTTATTCGTATGAATATGAGACGGTCATATTATATTCTGCTGCATCGGAGATTTACCTCTAGATCAGACCAGTTTACACTGATACGCTTCTTCTACCTTCGGTTATCAGTGATGAGAATCGTTTTAGACGAGTCACAATGTCAACAGAAGATATACAATCTCAAATACTGTTGAGTAACATTCGTTCGAACGAAAATGATGATATCAGTATGGAAGATACGTCTGAAAGACGTGTCAATTGTTCATGGAAGTGTACAAGTTTGCTCATTTATTTATTCAGTGATTGTTTCCTAGTACGAATTATCTCGTTAATATTTATCTTGCAGGCAGCTGTCATGTGGTTCGGATTTGCCGTTACTTTCATCTTACAATTACTATTCAGACCGTTTGCAATCAAAACAGAAGATTCATCAAACATTACCGTTATACTTGGTAGTTATCTAATGATACCGGCAATTGTTACATTTTCTGCTCATTATTTTTGGTTTATTATTCAAATTGGTTGCCATTGTTTTCGGTTAGAACAAGAATCGCACGATTGTCAATGTTGTTCTACTGACAGCATGAAGAAAAATTGTAAATGTTGTCTCATAAAACAACAAAAAATAAAAAATAATCAATTTATTGATAATTCATTGTTATTTTTTATTGATATGAAGCCTCATATTGATTTCAACACATTAACTAAAGGTTATATTAGAAAACAGTTAATTATAAACCTACGTTTAAAACAATTATTACGAATAATGATAACAGTCGTAACACTTGCTTATGCCATCTATTATATTTGGTCTAGAAAAGAATGGTTCAATTGTTTTATCATATCAGCTGGACAGGTACCATTAGCGATGATGTGGTTACTTCATATTCTACATCTATTTGCCATCATTTCATTTATTTTTTTTAAACTTTATTGTGATGGAGATAAGGATTTATCATTGTCGAATGATCAACATAAATATGATACTTCAATAGCGAAAAAGGAATGGCCAATGTGGTGTTTAGTTGTGTGTCAATTATGTCTACCATTAATATGTCAAATCATTGCACTATGTCCTATTAAAATTGAAATTAAAAGTTTGTTTTGGATAATGTTTGTTGTTCTACTTACGATTTTTCATCATCGATGGGATCATATTTCGGATGAAAACACTTTTTATATTCGAAATTTGTGCTGTTGTGATGGTCCAATAGATATTTATTTTCAACATAATAAAGAGGAAACGCAAAAATATAATATTATTCTTCGATTTAAAATATTTATCACACTAATATTAAGTGTTATGTGTACATGTGTAGCGTTTATTTTACAAACCGATATTTTACCACAATCACAAAAAAATATCGGTATTGCCATGATTATTATTATTTTCATATTTCAAATAGTTCTCTTATTGCCACCATTCATCAAATGTTATTCGATTAGTTTTCTTAATATGCAAACATTAACTATTGAACTAATGCACTGTTTAATGAATGTATTCTGGTTCATAGGTTTCATATTTATAATAAGAATATCATCGATTGAAACTAATTCTAAAGCATTATTTTTTCTCCTATGTCCACTCATTTATACACTTAGCACATTATTCTACTATATTTTGCATTTTGTATTCAGATACAGAAATAAGTCAAAATATCCTCAATCAGCCATTGAAGAATGGACAAATAGTCATCATTCTGTTAGTATTTATGTTGGAGCATTTTATCTTATGTTTATTTTACTTGCTATATTAGGCTTTGCCGGGCTAACAATTTTAACGAATACTGTTTATTATGATAAATCACCGTATGTGAATACTCAAAATATTTCTGGTAATTATTTATTAAAACAAGATTATTTTGATCCTAGTTTAACATCATGGAATACAAATCGAATGGAAGCATGTAATTGGCAATTTGATTCAACATTAAATATTCAAGATATGATACTTTTAGCAGCATTAGCCTATATACCACCTAATCAGTTACAAAAAGAGTTTAAACATCTATTTCCATTGGATTATCAATTATGTTCTGATAATGGTACATGTTATAATTATCAAGATCTAGGTTTTGGCAGTGTGACTTATTTCACTGTTACAACGCCAACAATGGTTATTGTATCAATTCGTGGTACTTTACTTGCTTATGAATTTTTGATTGATGCGGACATGTGGATTGAATCGATTATATATCAATTTATTTCCATTTTATTTCCTTGGTCTCGACTATATCCAGAAGATTTTAATTCTAAACTAATTCAACATTTATCGTTGTTAGAACGACTCGTAGGTAGAAGTAGTAAAGAACAATCCAAACGTTTTTATGTTCCTCAAATGATTAAAATTCTTCAAAAAATTCGTCAAAAATTTCACATGAAAAAATCGTTTGTCGTCGTTGGCCATAGTCTAGGAGGTGGGCTGGCAAAACTAGCTGGAATAGCACTGAATAATACCGATGTTTTAGTGTCGGTAAGTGGTCCTGGCATCACTTATGCTCATTCGAAAATTGAAGAGACAAAACATTTTACAATGGAAATGATTAATAAACGTGTTTTTAATATATTTCATGATCGAGACTTGGTACCATGGTTTGATAAACAAGAAGGTTTAACACAAATAGTTAGTTGTCCAAAAAAGTTTAATCGTTTCAAATGTCATACAGCAACGAGACTATTTTGTAATGTTGTTAAAATATGTGGAAATCCAAGAAATTTTACCATAAATCCAGCTATATGCGAATGAAAATTGTAGTAGATGCTATGAAGATCGTCACGGTGAATTCTTGTCCAATCTCACAGTGTCATTACAAAACATTTCATGAACGTAATATTAGAGGGAGAACTGTTTTTGTCAGGATAAAGTAAATTATGCTCTAGTTAAATATTTGACGAGTAGCCATGATCAAATGAGATTAGGAAATGATAAATCTAGCTAAATGCTTCTGACTGGTAAAACAAAATGTCGGACATTTAAAATTTGAAGATGTAAACGCACAAATTTCAGTTAGTGTTTTCTGTACAGAGGTGAGAAAGTGGTAGATCAAGTATATTGTTTAAATCTATAGTTCGTCTGAAAACGTTTGTTATCTTGGTGTTGCCGTTTATGATACATTTTTCGAGGTATCGTTCTTCGTGTCTAGTATAATCGAGCACGGATGTATAGTTCAATTGTTTATTGACGTATTTGCTTGAGATGTAAGACGGTAGGAGAAGAACAGCACGTATAGACTTATTTTGTATGATCTGAGTAACTTCCCAGTGGTTTGTATGGTTTAGAAAGAAGTCATCTGCATAGGTTGAGATAGAATAAATCAAACTCTTGTGAAGCATGTCAAGACGTTTGACAGATTTTTCTTCTGTGTTTCTTGCTAAGTATTTGATAAGTCCAATTTTAGAAGATATTTTCTTTTTAATATCTTGTAGATGTTTTTTGAATTTTAATGATCGGTCGAAGGTGACTCCAAGATATTTCGCCTCGGTCTTCAGTGGTATAGGTTCACCTTTTATATATACATTTAATTGAGTTGAGGATGTTTGGTGAAGTGAATGAGCTTTGTTTTTATTGACCGCGCCTCCAGTTTCCAAAAGGAACACCAGTTCACAAACTTGTCAACAGATTCTTGCAGTCTAATACACAGATTTGTTATCGTATTTGCATTCGCCCATATCAGAGATGTAACCAGTACCGGTAACCGGCCGGTTCGGTCAGGAATTTCTGGCCGGCCGAAAGAAAATTAATTTGTCAGGTCGGTCGAGAAAAAAATGTTTTTTTGTCTGAAAAATCAGCACTTTGTTGAAAACGAATTTGCTGAGCTAAGTAAAACAAAGCTTTTCATATTTCAGATTAAGAAAGCTAGTTTGGTATTCTCTTTTTCGTCTACAGTCTTCCAGAGTAGGACTGGTGATCTCTACTATATGAAAATTCCGTTCGTTTTCTTTTTTTTAATCTTTGTTGCACTATTATCGGCGCTAAAAAACAAGGTCGATAGTTATTTTTTGAATAACTCAAGAGGAATAAAAGATAGAGACTTGCGATTTTCATCATTCGCTAGCCAAGATCTGGGGCTATGTTTTCATAAGCAAAAACGAGTTTGGAAAAATTTCGAAGATCGATTTTTCAGGAGATCTGTGGAAAACCAGTCCGGTTCTCTGAAAGCTGACATAGAAATCTATGGATTTGTTTTCACACATATATAGTCCGAAAGGTCCTCTACAAAACTGGATCTAAGGAACATCTTGGAAAGTCATGGTTCGAGAGCTATGGATGTTTTTCTAGAAGCCTTAGCACTCCTATGTAGTTAGGGTTTTACACTTGCACACTAGGAAAATATATGATCAACCAACCGACCGGACCAGCCCGTCAGAAATTTTTCGACCGGTTGCCAGTCCGGTAGAGAAAATCTTGACCAGTTACATCTATGCTTAGCTGTGTCATCAGCAAATAAGTTACAGTTAGTATGTGGGGTGGTCGAACGGACTTCGTTTCCAGTGAAAACCAGACTGATAATCTGGTAGATGGTGATTTCTCTCTGCATGAAGATTGAGCTGTTCTTTAACAATTCTCTCCATAACTTTTCTCAAACTGGAGAGTAAAGTGATAGGACGATAAGAGGATAGATCTTTTGGATCTTTGTCTGGTTTTATATATGAGCCGATTTCCAGTCATTTGGTATAAAACCTAAAGAGAAACTACTATTAAATAAGGCCAGTAAGTGTTTTACAGGGAGATTGATGTATTGTTCTAAGCATTTATTGTGGATACTTGCTCAGCAATAATAACAACGCGTCTTATTTCTTCATCAACATATTTGATAGTTTTTGTTAAATCTTTAGTGTTGTCAATTTTGGTACATTTTTTGACCGAAGTAGGATCACCGAGAATGTAAAAATCGATATCTCGCAATTCTAAAAAACTCAAAGAAGTAGAGAAGAACTGCGCTGAGCGGGAATCCAAATTACTTTCGAATAGGGAAATCAAAACTTTTCTACAAAGATGGAAGTGTAAAACCAAAGTTTATGAGGAAAAATTGAAAAAATAGCAAAACATGGCTTTTTTGGGCAAAAACGACTTCTTTGAAACTTCTTTCACAGAACATGATAGAAAAAAATTGAACTTCTTTTAAGCGAAAGTGTGTTAAAGATTTCGGTGAAAAAATAAAAACAAACAACTCACTTAGCCTCAACATTGCTTTTAATGGCTCTTCAAATCCGACTGTTTTATTGATTAATCGCTCCTTGATATAAGTTGACAATGCTTCTTGACTTCCAAAACTTGAAAGACAGATCCCTCAGTCTTCGAGTTCAAATTTTATTTTCTTGAAAACTGTGTTTTGACAACATCAAATTACAGACGATGTCAAACTCTGTATATTCATCAATTTTTAGCTGCATCGGACGTGTTTTACAGGCGCTAAAAATCATTGAAAAAATTAATTGTTCTCTGTGAACCGCTATACCACCAGTTCATGGTGCTGACCTAGTCAAAGTTTCTCACTTAACTTTTTGTCAGTACCACTGTCAATTTAACATCCAGGACATGAAATAAATTTGATTGATTTGATTTGATTGATTGAAGTTGAAATTAATAAAGTTACAGTTCAATTAAAACGCGAAAATCATCCGGCAAAATTAAAACTTTATGTATATATACAACTCGATATGCTCTACAATCGGGTATTATTGTAACTGCTTCAGAAAAAGTTTTAGATTTTAGAACTTCCGGAAAACCTTGGATATCTCGAAGATTAATAATAGCCCAAATAGCTATCATATTCGAAATCAGCATCGTCGATTACCTATAATCAGCTATGTTTTGGGCAAAAGGTGTGAGAACACCTTGGAATGGTCTCTCATTAGTCGTAAAACAGGTACGCAATCGAGTAATTCTTTCGGAACAGTCCCATATATACATGAAGGTTTGCTGCAAAAGTCATGACATATTTCATTTAAAAGAGCATTGTATTCTGAGTAAGAATGCGTCATTTAAAAAAGTTTAAAACATCGGCATAGAATTCTGAGAAGGTCATGAAAGACAAACATGAAAGCTTTAGAGTACAGACTAGAGATAACAAGGAATGAAATCGCTTATTTAAAAACATTTTAAAATGGTTCATTTCTCTACTGCACTTGTTCTAAGATGGTAAAAATCATGAAAATTCGTCCTATTGAAATGCGTTTTTCATGATCAAATCGAACTCTAAAAAGAATGTAGTATGTGTATCTCTGGAAATGTAGTTTTCAATTGTCGACATCGCTCCTGTAAGTGTGCTGAGACTCATGTTTCACAAACATTACCCCGATGCACATTTTTGGACTCTACACCTTTTGAAACATATGAATCAACTGAGATCCCAATACCTTATCTTCAGTTTCTAAGATATAGGCCTTTGAAATCCCGAGTTTTCCAGAAAACTGCAAAGTGCATCAGAAAAACTTCTTAAACATACCATTAGACAGAACGTTCATTTTTGTGCAAAATGACGTATTTTTCACGTTTTTATTGCTTACCCAGACCAGATCCATTACTGACTTTCTTAAAACATTTGATGTTGAGCAAACAACAATAACATCATCCTGTGAATTCAGTGTCACATTCGTTAAAATCAAAAAGACGAATGTTTTTCACTGCACTGAAAAAAACGTGTCTCTTGTGCTTTTTTTTCTGGTCAGTGCGTTACAACCCAAAAAAAATGTTTCAAAAAAATGGCTGTGCATTTTTTCAGAGAGGCAACGCATATCATGCGTTTTTTCTTACGGGTACGTCCACGCAGCTCCGCCCACTTTTTACAGAACTTTTTTCTGGCAAGATTTAAGTATGCTAGTCTTGTAGCCCTCGTCGAGTTATCTAGGAATTGATATTTAATTTTGATTTGAATCATGCGCTAACTGCAATAGAACAGGCTCAAAAGTCGATTTTTTCGAAAAATGGCCCCCGGAATCTG